CTAGGGACTTTTTAAAAAAGCAATAGTCACTTTATAGAAAACAGGAGAGTTGGTAGAAAATGGATTGTAGATAGTTGAGTGTAAAACACATTATAACTGAACAAACACCTCTTAAGCAACGCAATATGCAATGAATTGCAGAGGACTGCAGAACCCCTCTTCCACAAATTCCATCATGCAGTCCAGTAAAGGATTTGGGTAGAACTGGGGTGCCTAAATCCAAAAATTAGAATGCTACATCAAATCAGGAGCCCTTCTGTTTGACAATAAAGTTCCTGGGCACTAGAGTTCTGCTTCTGTGCATGCCCAGAAATGTCTAAATCTGAGCCACTCAATGTCCATCTCCCACCCATGCTTGTTCAGAAGCTGGGGACTAAGCACTTCTCTCTCTGAGCCTCTATAGGGTTTTGATCCAATAGTTGTTAGCACAGCTAATACTGACAGGTTTGGGATCCCTATAATGTGCAGTTTGGGGCACTTACTTTTAAGATATGGCAGAAAGACACAGCTGTGCCCACTTTTTATACATCCTCATGTTGAAGGTTGGTGGGCAGGAGGTGGGACACTTAGGTTTAGCCTAAGGGGTTCAAGCCCACATTTCCCACTTCCCAGGGGTGTCATTAACTACAAGGTTCTTGGATTATCCTGGGTGAGGGTATTGGTATTCTCCACTCCTCCTGTTGGAGCTGGGCCACCGTGCAGCAAAGAATTCAAGGCTAACTATAAGTATCATTGCTGCTCTGAGGCACCTGCTGCTCCACTTTTGCTGTACAGAAAGCCTAAGCATTTAACTCAGGGTTTTGGATTCCCCTATTGGGGCCTAGCACCTAAAAGCGAGGGTGTAGCAGCATCCTGCTTGCAGGCACCTAAGTGCTGTGATCCAGTATGACTTGAATATGAAATCTAAGTTATATATGACCTATTTATTGCTCTTTCTACTTGTGGACATAACACGGGTGTATCAAAGCGTGAAAGAGGCAGATCTCTTTGTATTCACTACAAAAAATGCCACAATACAAAATAAATTCCTGGAGCAAGCCAAGCCCTTGTTTTAAGCATTCTTTGTTGTTTAGATTAAAGTACAACAGTAGCTTATGATGGCAGCAGGTTGGGTCACCTTCACAATTCAGAATTGAACACCGGTTGTTAATGGAAGCTCTTTGGTGATGTTATAGCCAGAGCTTGTGATCAGAATCAACTCTCAACTGCCCGCAGCAGAAATCCAGTTCAAGTTTTTTGTTTTTGGTCAAGAACAGGAGAAATGATGTAATCAAGTAGCATTGAACCTGCTCACTGCAAACTCATATCTGTTCTGTTTCCCAGTCAAAGGACAGAAGTGGTGAACGCAGTTGTCTGAAATACTTTTACAGGTAGGACTGCTTTCATTATGCCTGCTACAAAGTCTTCAGGACAAGTCACTTTCTCTTGTGCCCACTTCTGTTTGTTCTCCAGAGAACTGTACAACAGCTGTTTAGTGGGGAGGCTCTGAGAGCGCAAGCTTACAGAGAGGTCTCTGATTTCTTACCTTGGAGGCAAACGTCTTGGGGAATGACAGAACCCTTGGCACTATCTCGGCATGTAATCAACCGTCTGCCTGAATGAGGATCAACACTAAGGTAGATAGGAGACCAGATTTGTTAAGGCAATGAACCTTTAATGTCCAGATTTACCCAGTCAGAGAGAAATGTTTGAATTCAAAGGACTCCCTTAGGTGGTTGTATGAAACTCTCAGACTGCCAGCTGACATTTGTTAGGAGCTTGGGGATGAAGCAGAAGGTATTTGGAAGTACTCCCTCTACCAGTTAATGAGAGTTAAATCCCCCACACAACTGCCTAGTGACTGCAACCTGCAACATAAAGCAGTGTTCTGTGCAAGGCCAATTTAACTCTTACATTTAGCACACAGCTGAGGACTCCATGTTCAGCCCTCAATAGATATTCACTCCTACTTAGGTATGTCTCTCTCTCACCCTCTACAGACCCTCCAAGACACTGCTGTTCCTTAGGTTACACTCCCTTAGGTTACTAGTGCAGGGCATGGAAAAGATTTTTGTTCCCAAGAAGTGAACAGACCCCGCACTAATAATTAGAGCAAAACAGTTTAATAAAATATCACTTCAACAAGCATTTACAGATGATATACAAATTTTTTTTAAAGACGTACATTCTTAAACTATAACTTACTGGAATGGGTGCTAAGTTAGTTGAAACAAAACAGGGAGTTGAATTTCATTTTGGCACCCACAACATGATCCAAAAAAAAACATGCTAGATTCGTACATTTGAAAATAAAGAGAGACAAGCCTTCCACTCCTGGTGCACAGTATAGTGACATGTAACCTGGAAATTCCAGTTTGGAAGTTTTACACTCTCATGGTTATAGTTAATCTTCTTGTGTCAAACTCCGATGTCCCTGGTCTTGCTCCAAGTCACTTGTTCAGATCAAAAGTCAATATGGTTTCCTCCCTTTGATTGCTTCTGAGATCCCTTCCAGCAGTTTTGAGAAGTTAAAATTTTAGCTCCCTCTACTAGCTGCTTTGTTTCATGGCAGCAATACATAATACTGCAGTCAAACAGCAGCTATTTTTAAGGGGCTCCAAGATGGAACAGATTCCCAATATATTCCTTATTAGATTCATTAGCCTTTTGCCTAGAATAACATCTGAAAGGCTGGTATTCCTATAGGCAGGAAGTTGCTACTAGAAATAGCTCTAAGGCCTAATAAGAATGTGCTCGTTTCTTAGACTGGCACAATACATCAGCAGCACTTATTTCCTATATTTAGCAATCTTTCATACCCGAGGAGGAACATGACAGCAGCTGGAGAAGGGGACAGTGAAACAAGAGACTTCTCAGGTTTTATAACCACATGAACAAAGTTCACTGCCAAGCTTCCAATTGATAAGTTGGCTAGGCACTAGGCCAGAAGTTTTGATTAATTTACAGCCATCATCCTAAAACTGGGCCTCCCAAAGGAAAAGTGTGCGTGCGCGCATGTGCATGTGTGTCTATTCAGCATTGTCTTTGGAGAAAGCTTTGAAGAGAGAAGTATCTCAGTAAGAAGTTTTGTTAGCCAGCACAGCAGGCAGAAGTACAGGTATTTTCTTGTAGCAACAGGAGCTCCCTGGATTGCATATTTTATAAATTCATCAGCATGAAGCCCTTTTCCCAACACAGCAGCTATTTATCCTGCTGTCTAACATACAAAGATTTACTGTGAACTTATATCACTATGTTGTGTGATGGCTATAGCTTTTGACAGTACATTATCTGTCACGTGGTATGAGCCCAGTGTTTTCTACCCTGCTACTGATATGTAGCAGGAATTTCTCCTCTATTCTCTGACTAAAGGAATGTTTCTCCTGATCTCCACTATTGGATCAGGAAGGCAAGGAAGGTTAATCAGATGGAACTGAGTTGCTGAACTTATTATGATGGAGAGATTGAGAGAGAAACAATTTAAATATATCAGGTGCTTTCATAAAAAAAAAAAAAAAAAAAAAAAAAACTGTATTAAAAAACCCCCCCCAC